TCTGGCTGGGCACAAATAACCGAGCCGCCACAAAGCCTTGTAGATTCAAACAGCAATTCTTTATTCCCCAACTCTCACCAGCACTGCACACACCACAGGGCCCTTCCAATCTCTCCGAACCCCAAGAACTGAACCCCAAGAACTGCACAGGAACTCCAAAGTAGTGGGCGCCCTATTGCCCAACAGTAAGGTCAAATATACAATTCAATCAATCCAGCATCACAGCAATTCTATGTAGCTTAATTCAAATCACCATCTCAATGGTTCACTGGCATCACCTTTCAACCATTGCCTCTGGCAAATGCCAGGCATCATTTTGACTGGGCTGTGGTTCTCAACAATATTTAAGGTAAAAATTAACAAAGATCTCACCACATATTAACTATGAATTAAAATAATGAAAATAAGTCAAAAGTTTTATCAGATTAAAGTATATGAATTCAGGTACAAAATTAAATTCTTTCCTAAAAAAAAGACCTTAAAAGAAAACATAGCAAATTATTTGGTACATATTTTTTTCCTGTTAGAAACAACTGGCTTCACAATTTTTGTTTATTAAGGGGAAAAAACTTAATTCTCACTAACCTTAGTTTACTAACAAGTCTATACATTTAATGCTGTTCCTCAACATGTACCTAGTCAGACATGATCTATTTTTTAATGAGTCTTAAACAAGGACCAAAAAAAGTTATTACATTGTACTGAATTACTCAGATGATTAGTTTTGTTTTTCAAATTGTACTAACAGCAACAAGTAATGGGAACCATTTTGTATTCTGAAGACAGCTTAAATGGAATTTAAGATACAGGATTCTAAGGGTTGAAAATGTATCTCAGTGGTAGAGAATTTGCCTAGCAGAAAAAAGGGCCTTCCGTTCTATCCCCAGCACCAGAAAAAGATTTTTAAAAATTTAAATTTTAAAAAGATACAGAATTCTTTAAAAACCAACCTGTCATTTTTTTCCCCATTTTTATTGGTGCATTATACTTGTACATACTGATAGTTCTGTTGTTATATATTCATACACTTATACAATAACATACAACAATATAATCTGGCCAGTATCACTCCCCAGTACTTTCCCACTCCCTCCCCACTCCAACCCCTTGGTCCATTTCCTCTTCTAATCCCCTTTTGATTTTAATGAGGTTTGCCTCCATATTCCTTTTCCTTTTCCCCTCTAGCTACCACATATGAGTGAAAATACAGAACCCTAAACTTTTCAGTTTGACTTACTATGCTTAATGTAATGGTCTCTAGTTCCATCCACTTTCCTACAAAAGCTATAATTTCATTTTTCTTTATGGCTGAATAAAACTCCATTGTTCATATATACATTTTCTTTATCCATTCATCGGTTGATAGACACCTAGGCTGGTTCCATAGTGTGGCTATTGTGAATTGTGCTGCTATAAACATGGGTATGTGGGTATCACTAATCACTATCTTCAGAATAAAAACCAAGGAGTGACATAGCTGGGTCATATAGTGGTTCCATGCCTAGTCTTTTAAGGAACCTCCTTACTGGTTTCCATACTGCCAATCTATCATTTTTTATTAGAACAAATATACTTCATTTCAAAGTCTCTTCCTTCATGCTTTCCTGATATTTAATTATTACTATGGTTGTATTAAATATTCAGATACAAGATTTTCTGAGGACCACTGACTACCACACCAAAAATAGAAATATAAATTGTACTAAAAGGCATAGTTTATTCATGATTCTTTTTTTTTTAATAGAGTCACAAAGCATTCACTGTCATCTGGTAATAACATAAGGATAATCAAAACAATATAAACAAATGTTTTAGAACTATACTCCCAGTAAAGAAGATCTAAAAAAAAAAATGTAACTTTCTCTGTGATTTCTCACTCATTCATCATATCTAGTTGGAGACACTTTATAACAGAGTAATATTATCTCCTTTTAGCATGATCCTATCCAATTGTTTTCTTTACTTTTAGTATGAATCTCTTCTGCATCATCTAATACAAGGTTCATGTACTCATCAAAACCAATAAATTCAGCCATCCACTGGCATATTAGCTTGATCACAGAACCACACCTGAATCCAGCTTCTGTTTTGCAAGTATCTAAAGTAAGGCTGATGAGCTACACCATCCCCTTCTGCCCTTTCTGGCCCTCACAATTGTAAGCCATGGTAGAATCTCACAAAGATTCAAGCAACCAGCTCTTTACCTCAGAAAGCAACTTCCAGAATTGTATTCATGATTCTTTAATTAAAAAGTTGTTATGCTGATTAGTACTTACTAAGCCAGTGTTAAAGTACTATTAAATCCAATCTGCCACTCAACAGTCTCACTTATCTAAAAATGAAGTTAAAGTAGATTTCTTCGAAAGTCCCTTGCAATTTTAAATAACTATAAATAGAGCATTGTTTATGAAGTAGATTAATTCCCCTAACCTTCTTCTAACCATCAAATTTTTTTAAAATTTTGATTTGTTATGATAACAGAATGCATTACAATTCATAATACACATATAGAGAACAATTTTTTACGTCTCTTGTTGTACACAAAGTAGAGTCACATCCTTCGTGTCTTCCTACATGTACTTAGAGTAACGATGACCACTGCATTCCACCATCTTTCCTACCAGTGTGCCCTCTCCCTTCCCTATCTAGTGTTCACTTAATCCTTCCATCCCCGCCAAACTTTTTAACTTTTAATTTTAAAATTACTTAAAACTTGCAGAAAAGTTTTGAGAACAGTAAAGAATCCCATTTATCTTTCTTTCAGATTCCCTAATTTTTAGGGGCTGGGGAGGTGGCTCAAGCGGTAGCATGCTCACCTGGCATGTGCGGGGCGCTGGGTTCGATCCTCAGCACCACATACAAACAAAGATGTTGTGTCCACCGAAAACTAAAAAATAAATATTAAAAAATTCTCTCTCTCTCTTTCACACACACACACACACACACACACACACACACAAACACAAACACACTCACACTCCCTCTGTCTCTCTCTCTGTCTCTCTCTCTCTTTAGGGAAAAAAAAAAGATTCCCTAATTTTAGTATTTTAACACATCCTATCATTTGTCTCTAAATACACACAGGTATGCACACATACTTTTTTCCAAAACCATTTGTGTGTCAGCTGCAGATATAACTGCCCATTACTCCTAATACTTCATTGTCAGTTTCTCAAACATAAGGACATTCCCTTAAAGAACAGTATAACCATGATAATAAGGAAATTAAAATTAACATTAACAATATTACCATCAAACCCACAAAGCACATTTAAATTTGTCCTGATACCTCCCCAAAGTCATTTCCCCCAAAACAAAAAGGTAGGGGGAAAAAAAAAAAAAACATTTTAACTGGGCTTTTCTAACTTCAATAGGTTTTTCTTTTTGGTGAAACTGCATTTGTGTGTGAGTGTGTGTGTGGTACTGGGAATTGAACACAGGACCTTGTGCATATAGGCAAGCACTCTACCAGCTGAGCTATATCCCCAGCCCAAAACTGCATGCTTTTTACAGCATTCATCAAATAAACTTATTCTAAGATAAAACAAGGCTCAAAGACAAATACTAACAAATATAGTATATATTTATGTTTTCTAAGTCTGTGTATAAGTAAACTTAAATGCAATCAGGAAAGATTCAAGAGTCTAAATTCAGTTAGACACAAAATAATAATAAAAAATTAAATATCTTCCTGAGATTCCATAAATACCATTACATTTATCACTGGTGTAGTTTAGTTATATACCATATAATAATGATGGATGTATATCTCTTTATATATCATAGTGATCCCATAAGATTATTTCATGAAGTAACCCAGTTATCTTTGTTTGTACACTGTACACCCCATGACATCTGCACAATGATGAAACTGACTAATGATGCATTTCTCAGAATATCCCATTATTAAGCAACATGACTGCATTTTCTTAATGTATACACTTATGATTTCTAAAATAGTGCATTAAAAAAAGAAAAGCGTAGCTGAGCGCAGTGTTGTATGTCTGTAATCCCAGCAACTCTGGGGGCTGAGGCAGAAGGATTGCGAGTTCAATGCCAGACTCAGCAAAAAGTGAGGTACTAAGCAAATCAATGAGGCCCTGTCTCTAAAATAAAATACAAAATGGGGCTGGCAATTTGGCTCAGTGATTGAGTGCCCCTTGAGTTTAATCCCCGGTACCCACCACCCCAAAAAAAAGAACAGAAAATTGAATATATAAGCTAAGGGCACATATAAAACATGTTCAATCTGATGCTGGTAATTCTTTTATAAGCTAGCAGCAGATATAAAATATATTCTACATTTTATGCTTTTGAAGGTTTTTATTTGTTTATTTTTGGTACTGAGATTGAACCCAGGGACACTTTACCACTGAGCTATATATCCCAAGCCCTTTCGTTTTTTATTTTGAGACAGGGTCCACTAAGTTTCTTAGGGCCTCACTGAGGTCCCAAAAGGCCTCAAACTTGTGATTCTCATGAATCAACCTACTGAGTTACTAGGATTTGTGCACAACCACACCTAGCAAAATGTTTTATGTTTGGTGATAATACTGTTTTCATATACTGATGGTTATCCCCAAATACTTACTATTATTAA